CCCCGACGCGACGCCGCACTCCCCGCCCGACGTGGCGGCGCTTCCCAATCGGGCGAGGCGCTGGCTGCGCGTGGGCGGGACGTAGTGCGTGCGGCAAGCTCCGCCCCCTCCTCCGGAGCCCGCGCGCCCCCTGCTGGCCCTCTCCTTCCTGGTCGCAAACCGCGTTTGCCCGCCTGGCTGGGTCTTGTGCGCCACGCGGCGGAAGCGGGATCTGGCAGGGGGGGGGGAGATGCGCGGACCGTGCCGGTAAAAACGTGGAACGAAGGGGCTGCTTCTCACAGTCGCTTCGGGCTCGGAGCTGTGCTCAGCTCCCCGCCCGCGGGAGTACCGGGAAGTTCCCGCGTGGGACCTTCCCCCTCGTCCCCGCCCTGGAACTCTTGATGTGGGACTCTCGACCTCTCCCTCCTGCCCTCCTTTGCTGCTTGGAGTCCCCCATACCTTCTCTCTCTGCACACTTGTGGCGTGGAACCAAATCTCTCTCCTCCTTTGCCTCATGGGACCTCCGCACTCCTAGGTGTAACTAGTAGGCTGTGGTATGCCTGGGATGATATGCTCTGGGGCACCCTCTCAGTACTCTCCCTTTGCCTCATGGGACCTCGGCACTCCTAGGTGTAACTGGTAGGCTGTGGTATGCCTGGGGTGATATGCTCTGGGGCACCCTCTCAGTACTCTCAGTTTCCAAGGGTGGGACCATTCAGTTGGAGGGATTTGACTCAACCCTGTATTGCAGTGGTGTCATGCATTCCATCACGCTCCTCAAGCAACTTCAAGTTACATAATTTCCAATCTAACTGTCCATGGTTAGCAAGAGTAGGTACCAAGCCTTTTCCTATTCTCCACAAGGGGAGTCCCAGGCCACGGGTAGGACCTGAGTGCCTTCCCTCAGCATTTAGATGAACTCACAGCATGTCTTCTGGCAACAGAATACCCCCACCCCACTCCAAACCAGAAACCCCTGCAAGGAAGAGCAAGCACTTGAGGTGAGGCAGAAAAGTGACAAGACAGATGCCAGGCCAGCAGGGTACTAGATCAGTAGGTGGCATCCTGTAAGGAGGGAGGGCTGCTGGAGAGCTGGAAGCTGGCAGTGGGGTCTCAGCAGTAGAGCCCCTGGGAGAAGTGGCGAAGGCAGGGGGTCTTGTCTATGTGAGGACCAGAGTGAATGCAAGGCTCTACCATGGAGGCTGACCTGCTTATTAGAACCAGGGTAGATGACCAGACCAGGGTCACCAGTGCCAACCACCAATTCATCTACCCATTTGTCCATCTTTCCTACATCTATCTGTCCGTCAGCCCACTCATCTTTACACCCATTATCTGATTTTTGGGGGTAGGGGCATGTCAGTAGGTCACATGCTATGGCAGGTGCACGGACACAAACTGGGGAAACAGAACTGCATTCAAAAGTCTGCCAGCACCTCAAGCTCAGCCTCTGTCCAGCTGACTTCATTTTCTCTTCCCTC